TCAATAGTGAATGAGAGGTAGAGCTACTTGGCTAACTGTCTCCATCTAGCGGACAAAAATGTGTACTGCACCACCGTCATTTATAATTAGACTTACAGGCTGAATCACAAAGCTGCCGAAGGCAGGCGGGCGAATAACCCAGCCGAAGTGAAGCGCGCCGAACGCTATTCGGCTATTCACTTCTGGCTGGTACGGCTGATTTCAGCCGTACGTCGGCTGCCTTCGGCCGAAGTGCAGAAGGAGTTCGACTCAGCGGATCCAACATCTGGATCGGCTGAGCCGAAGCTCCAACGGCTCACTCGCTGCCGTTCGCCCTTATTCTCATAGGGGCCGAACGGCAGTGAGTGAATAGCTGAATGCTGCCGAGCGGCATTCGGCTCGGCTATTCTGCTCGGTACCTAAAGAAGTGAAAAGAATGAGAAAAAAAGTTGCAAAATTATTTTTTAAATGATAAAAAAAAAAAGGAAAATTAAAAAATATATTTTAAAGGAAAAACAATTGGGCGGAGCTTGCATTGACAGCTAGCTCCGCCCAAGTGTTTTCTATTGACCAGCACCTCCCAGAGTCTAGCAGGTCCTGGCCAATGAATAACAACTGGGCCGGGATGTGAATAGCCCGTACAGCAGCCCCTTGCAGAGGCGGCCGAAGAGAGCAGAAGGATCCGTCTGGATCCTTCGGCTCTTTAGTGAATAACCCCCCCTAGTGTCACAGGAGTAGGTATCCTCGGCACTCTGGCTGTGGTGAAAGCACAAACCACCATCATGCCTCTAGTAGTCATGCCTGTGGCTGTCAGATCCCCTCCACCCTCTTTAATGACGCAACTCCGCTCTCCGGATTCTGCGCTTGGTAGTGTCATCCTGGGGGAGGCAGGGAACTCCGGGGGAAAGATGGGCGTCTGAAGGTGGAAAACTACAAGTCCCAGCATGCACTGCGCTGTACAAGTCTTTTTAGATGTCTAGTATGTGCATACCCACCAAGCATGTATAACCTTTAACCCTTAGATAACCCCATCAGGGTGTTCCATATGTTCCGGACCTATTGGCCGTATTCCAATCCCCCACTCAGCATATAGGGCCGGGGAGGGCAACTCCAGCCCACCAGCTACAAACCCCATCATGCTTCTGCCTCTGGAAATAATGCCTGTAACTGTCAGTCTTGCAATGCCTCATGGGACTTGTAGTTCTACAACGGCTGAAGTGTCAAGGTTGCCTACCCCTGTAGCATCAGATATATTGCTCCACCTAAGGTGCAGTGTGTCAGTGTTCCCCTTCCAGGTATATATATTACCTCTCACAGAGATCAATGCAGAATCTGATAGCACTGTAGGTAGGTAGGTAATAAATCGGCCTTCCCTGCACTGCGCGAGCGGTTTTTATCACAGCGTAGATATATGAACTCCCAGTCCTGCCCTGTAGCAGCTGATCAGATTCCAACCTGACATTTTCCAGGACAGGTTCTGAATCTTGGTTGCGGTCAGTCGCAGCGACAAGTGCCGGGGCTGCCCCTGGCTTCACAGGTTAAAGAGGACCTTGCATTTGTAAGTCAGCCATGACGACCTCCATATTACTTTAAATACAGGTTTAATTATACCAGCACCTATGAAAAGACATTGGGTAGCCTTCCCTCAAAATGTGCAGCTTTCCAATCCAACATTAAGTCTGTGTATTAGATAGGGAACCCTAGAGCACCACGGGTTATCTAAAGAGAAAGCAGGGCACTAGCTGACCGCTTTCAGACGCCCTGTCTCTGATTGAAAACTCGACTCAATGCAGCTGTACATATGGAAGGGGGAGGAGCGACAGCTCTCATTCACTTGTGTGTGCTCTGTAAACGATCGCACAGATAAGACGCAACACTTTTTTTTTCTCGTAATAAAACTAATTACAGTTTTTGGGAAGGGGGGGAGGGGAATAAAACAATATAACGGGTCAGCAGAAAAATAATCATGTGACTCGACTTCGTCTTGGGTTCCTAATTGTGCCTCGCCGGTCCTCGTATCTACCAGACAGGATCCGTGTGCAATGGACTCCATGCAGTCTCTAAAGAGGTAAAAGTACCACAACGCTCTTGGGTAGCCAGAGACCATGTGATCGCTGCCACTGTGGGTCACAATTATGCAGGTTTTTGGTTTTTTTGGAGAAATTTTCCCCCGCCCCCTGTTATTTTGTAAATACATATTAAACATATTATTATCATTAACTGTCCCACCCTGGGATTGACTCATGTGGCACAGCACAGCTCCCAGTGACCTTAAAGGTGGATGGACACCAACACCGCATGGCTCCCAGTGACCTTAATGGTGGGTGGACACCAACACCGCATGATTCCCAGTGACCTTAATGGTGGATGGACACCAACACTACATGGTTCCCACTGACCTTAAAGGTGGGTGACACCAACACTACATGGCTCCTACTGACCTTAATGGTGGGTGGACACCAACACTACATGGCTCCCACTGACCTTAATGGTGGGTGACACCAACACTACATGGCTCCCAATGACCTTAATGGTGGGTGACACCAACACTACATGGCTCCCAATGACCTTAATGGTGGGTGACACCAACATTACATGGTTCCCACTGACCTTAAAGGTGGGTGACACCAACACTACATGGCTCCCACTGACCTTAATGGTGGGTGACACCAACATTACATGGCTCCCACTGACCTTAATGGTGGGTGGACACCAACGCTACATGGCTCCCAATTACCTTAATGGTGGGTGGACACCAACACTACATGGCTCCCAATAACCTTAATGGTGGGTGGACACCAACACTACATGGCTCCCAGTGTCCTTAATGGTGGGTGACACCAACACTACATGGCTCCCACTGATCCTAATGGTGGGCAGACGCTAACACCACATGGCTCCAAGTGACCTTAAAGGTGGGTGACACCAACACTACATGGCTCCCACTGACCTTAATGGTGGGTGGACACCAACGCTACATGGCTCCCAATTACCTTAATGGTGGGTGGACACCAACACTACATGGCTCCCAATGACCTTAATTGTGGGTGGACACCAACACCGCATGGCTCCCAGTGTCCTTAATGGTGGGCAGACGCTAACACCACATGGCTCCAAGTGACCTTAAAGGTGGGTGGACACCAACACTACATGGCTCCCACTGATCTTAATGGTGGACAGACACCGACACCACATTGCTCCCAGCGACCCTAATGGTGGGTGGACGTCAACACCACATGGCTCCCACTGACCTTAATGGTGGGCGACACCAACACTACATGGTTCCCACTGACCTTAATGGTGGGTGACACCAACAGCACATGACTCCCAGTGACCTTAATGGTGGGTGACACCAACAGCACATGACTCCCAGTGACCTTAATGGTGGGTGACACCAACAGCACATGACTCCCAGTGACCTTAATGGTGGGTGACACCAACACTACATGGCTCCAACTGACCTTAATGATGGGTGACACCAACAGCACATGACTCCCAGTGACTTTAATGGTGGGCGGACACCAAAACCGCATGACTCCCAGTGATCTAAAAGGCGAGAGACCACACACCCCACGTGGATTCTGGTGACCTGTGCAGACTCAGGTGCAGTACGGGTCCCAGTGAACTTAAAGATGGGCGGGCACAGACACCACATGACTCCCAATGACCTAAAAGCCAAAAATATATCCTTGCTGTGGGGCTACCCCCGCACTGCAAGGGTTAAGTACTCCTCTTTTGTCTGCGGGATCGGAGTAAAACAGATTTACTTACCTAACCCCTGGTGGTCAGCGCTCTCCCCCTCCACTACAGCTGGTGGAATGTCCATCGGCGTCCTCATGTCTAATGCAGGACTATGGAACCTGCATTTGATGTAATGAGGTCAGTGGTCCTTCCAGGGCAGGGAGAAAGACGCTGCAGGGACCAGTCTAACAGCCCCAAGGGAGCCGTCTGGAGCGGGGATCAGGTAAGTAAAAGCACTTACACCTTGCAGTGTGGCGGTATCCCCAGTGCACGGGTAGTTTTTGGTGGGCGTGCACAGACACAAAACATTTTCGGGTGTTGTCCTTAACAGATCAGCTAATTTTTCATATTAGAAGCTCCTCCCAGCTCTGCAGACAGAAGCTAGAACATTAACAGGTTCTCTTTGTTGACCTCAACAGCTTTGCCGATAAAGTTTTTGTTTCGAGTGCAGATGAATATCTGTATCGCATCACCCGTCCTTCTTTGGTGACCCTTTAAGCCCCGCCTCCGGTGACCAGAGGCAACTGCGCGTATGGGGCAGATTGCGCAGGCGGGAACAACGGACGTCTCTTTTAAATTAATGAAAACCGTAAAAAGTCTTCGGTCCATTCTGAAGTTGTTAAAACCAACTCGCTGGGACCGTTTTATTGCTGGAGTCCTCTGCTAGTGCAATGCCGACCCCTCCTGGGAAGGAGGGTGAAGGTCAGGTGACCCCTCCCGTGAAGGAAGGTAAAGGACAGGTCATACCTCCCGGGAAGGAGGGTAAAGCTCAGGTGACCCCTCCCGTGAAGGAGGGTAAAGCTCAGGTGACCCCTGCCGAGGAGGGTAAAGGACAGCTGATCCCTCCTGGGAAGGAGGGTGCAGGTCAAACGACCCCTCCCGTGAAGGAGGGTAAAGGACAGGTGATCCCTCCCGGGAAGGAGGGTAAAGCTCAGGTGATCCCTCCCGGGAAGGAGGGTAAAGCTCAGGTGACCCCTCTCGAGAAGGAGGGTAAAGCTCAGGTGACCCCACCCGAGAAGGAGGGTGAAGCTCAGGTGACCCCTCCCGAGAAGGAGGGTAAAGCTCAGGTGACACCTCCCGAGAAGGAGGGTAAAGCTCAGGTGACACCTCCCGAGAAGGAGGGTAAAGCTCAGGTGACCCCTCCTGGGAAAAGCTCAGGTGACCCCTCCTGGGAAAAGCTCAGGTGCCCCCCTCCTGGGAAAAGCTCAGGTGACCCTTCCTGGAAAGGAGAGTGATGGTCAGGTGACCCCTCCCGGGAAGGAGGGTGAAGGTCAGGTGACACCTCCCTGGAGCTCCCCATCAGTCACTTCATCGAACACGCGTCTTCCAGTTCGTAAAACAGGACGTACGCCTCGCTGGACTGCACCAGGCTCTCGCTGATGGGTGTCACCCTGTGGACAGGAAGATAAGAGACATCAGTGGGGAGTTCCCAGAACCCTCTGGGGCAGACACGGACGGAGATGGCAGTGGGGCTCACCTGGAGTCGTTGTAGGCGTACCAGCCGGACGGGTCCTTGCAGTAGGCGGTGTAGTGGCCGTAGTGGACGCTGCCCGAGTGGTTGCAAAGGGCGTACAGGTTATACACGGGGCTCCCTGAAATCACAAATCAAAGCTGTTACCCGCGGGGGCGTACATTTACAGGAAGTGGGTGGTCTTCTGTCGATTTACAGGACGTGTACAGCAGTGGTACTGAGACTCCTAGAAATAGATTTACAAAACCCGCTGAACCTCACTTTGAAAATGGGATTCAAGGAGCTGAAAAGGATCATGGGAATTGGTAACTTTATTTAAAAGAATCGAAAAAGCAAACTTCATCTGTACAGCGTTATAGTACAAGATATTTCTTAGGTTTGGAGGGAGTAGGGATTGTTATAACCCCTGTAGGTGACGTATTGGGGAGATTTCCCTTCACTTCCTGTCCTGGAGACACAACAGGAAGTGAGAGGAAATCTCTCTAATGTGAGGGTAATCTCCTTAAACACTTGTGGACATCGGGTGTACACAACATTTTTCTCTTCAATCCCTGTTCTGGTGACAACCATAACATTTTATATTTTCTATCGCATTTAGAGAGGGAGACAATGGTCACCAGGACTAATAGAGAGGGCATCACATTGTCACTTCCTGTTCTGGTGACAACCATAACATTTCATATCTTCTAACACTTTTGGAAATGGAGACAATGGTCACCAGGACAAATAGAGAGGGCATCACATTGTCACTTCCTGTTCTGGTGACAACCATAACATTTCATATCTTCTAACACTTTCTGAAATGGAGACAATAGTACCCAAGACAAATAGAGAGGGCATCACATGGTCATTTCCTGTTCTGGTGACAACCATAACATTTCATATCTTCTAACACTTTCGGAAATGGACAAATAGAAAGGTCATCACATTGTCAGTTCCTGACAACCATAACATCTTATATCACTTTCTAAAATGGAGACAATAGTCACCAGGACAAATAGAAAGGTCATCACGTTAACCCTGCTAGTGAAATGCCCCCTCCATATTTGTCCCGGTCACCATTTCTCTTTACTTCCTGTGTGGCCCCCAAAACAGGAAGTGAGCAAAATTTCTTCCGTGGAGACATCAATGCTAATATAAAGAAAAGGTCTTCTTTCAAGTTGTTATGCCCATGTCACCCTGCAAAACCCTTCCCTGCTCCGTCCAATAGAAAACAATATTTATTTTGGCTGGAGTTGGACTTTAATTTTATCGAGAACAAATTAAAATCTTCCCTCTTGTTCCCCTACAAGCTCCGGCATTAGATGGTAAGCTCCTCTGGTGAGGATCAAGGGCAGACTGGACTGCTCCTCTGGAATTTATTATCTGTAGGTGACTTGGTGTGATTGGTCCGACTACAGCGGGTATGGTAATCCGAGTTAATCTTGTCAGGCGAGTCCTTGACACTAATGCGCACAGATCCCCTTTCGCTGGCGGGGTCACCGGGACATCGCGCCCCCGGCGGCTTTGCAACAGCGAGAACTTTCACTGGCGCAACATAGCGTAAAAGCATTGCTTTTACAATCTCAGGCCACACCCTCCGCCGCCAGCTCAGACCACACCCTCTGCCGCCAGCTCAGGCCACACCTTTTACAATCTCAGACCACACCCTCTGCCGCCAGCTCAGACCACACCCTCTGCCGCCAGCTCAGGCCACACCTTTTACAATCTCAGACTACACCCTCTGCCGCCAGCTCAGACCACACCCTCTGCCGCCAACCTGGTGCTATGCTTAGAACAAGCATACACAGTTGGGCTGGAGTCTTTATCATTGTGCCCAGTTGGGTGCCGTGCTTAGGGCAAGTATGAGTAGAGTGATGGGGTCCTGATCATGGTGCTCATTTGGGTACTGTGCTTGGGGGGTTCATATCCTCATGCCCACTTGGATGCCGTGTTTAGGGCAAGCAGGTATAGCATGCCCGGGGTCCTTATCATTGTGCCCGCTTGGGTGCCGGGCTTTGGGCTAGCATGCAAAGTGTGGCTGTGGTCCTTATTATTGTGCGCACTTCGGCACCATGCTTAGGGAAAGCATGCATAGTGTGGCTGGGGTACCTATTTTTATACCCATTTGGATGCCAGGCTTAGGCCAAGCTTGCGAAATGCAGCCGGAGTCCTTATCATAATGCCCACTTGGGTGCCGTAATCAGGGCAAGCATGCACATTGTGGCCGGGGTCCTTCTCATTATGCCCACTTGGGTGCCAGGCTTAGGCCAAGCATGTGTAGTGCAGCCGGCCTTATCATAATGCCCACTTGGGTGCCGTAATCAGGGCAAGCATGCGCATTGTGGCCAGGGTCCTTGTCATTATGCCCACTCGGGTGCCGTGATTAGGGCAATCATGCACATTGTGGTCGGGGTCCTTATTATGCCCACTTGGGTGTCAGGCTCAGGGCAAGCATGCGCAGTGTAGCCGGGGTCCTTATCATTGTGCCTGCTTGGGTGCTGTGTTAAGGGCAAGCATGCCCAGTGTAGCCGGGGTCCTTATTATACCCACTTGGATCCTGTGCTTAGGCCAAGCATGCGCAATGCGGCCAAGGTCCTTATCACTGTGCCTGCTTGGGTGCTGTGCTTAGGGCAAGCATGCGCAGTGTGGGATCTTTCGGCAGTGTTGCAGGATGACAATCCTGAAAAAAGAAAACGAATGCAGCCGCCTCATCTAAGGACCAATACGGTGCAATATATGATACTCTTGGGTTTAGATACACATTATACAGATGGTTATATAGATCGTTCCTGGCTGTGCAGTGATTGTGCTTTACTGCTCCCTACCTCAAACTTCCGCACTTACCGGCCTTCTCGCTGGCGAACTCCTTCAGGTTGAGCCGGTGTACGGGGAACTCGACAGACACCGAACACTTCTTGATGGAAAACCGCGTGGTGGAGAACCGGTTAAGGTCTGGTGGGGGCGGGACGTTAAGGAAAACCCCCCAGTAGTGTGCAAACACTGCCAAAGATATCAACACCAGCTGAGGCCTTTAAGGCTACACTCACACTATGCTTGAATGTGACATTTGGGAATCCAAAATTTCCGGTTTAGATGCGGCCGCTGTCACCTGGTTCAATTTAAAGACCGGGTGACAGCGGGCGCAACGTATGTGATAGGATTACATGTGGTTTCAAATCAATCACTGTCCCTGGACGCGTCTACTGTGCGCCCGGGGACAGTGATCTATAACAGCAACTCTATCAAACCCAAAATTTCAGTAAAAACATAAATTTAAAGTTAATTTTCTTGCACAAAACCGTAATATTTTACCTGTTTTTGTTTGTTTTTTGTGCAAAATATAAAAGTTGAGGTTGTGCTGAGTAAATAGACACCCAACATGCCAAGCTTTACAAATTGCGTGCGCCTGCGAAACGGTGCTATCGCATAGGGAGGCTCGCTTTAGTAGTGACAGGTCCTCTTTAAGGTGACATTAGGGGTCTATTAGCTCCTTAGTGTCAGCTGTGCAGCCCACTGAAGCTGATTAGGGACAGATCATGCTTGATCAGCCTCTTCTGTGGCTTCTCTAGCCGGGGAATGACAGCTTGGGAACCGGAAGTGATGACATCATCATCATTCAGTGGGGAGGAGATCAGTGAATGGACGCTTTCCGGTCTCTCTTCCTGCTGACACCCGTGATGCCGGTCCTAGGTGTTGGCAGATCAGTGAACGGACGTTTTCCAAGTCTCTCTTCCCACTGACGCCCGTGATATGCCAGTCCCGGGTGTTGGCAGAGGGGCAGTAGAGCCCGGGAAGCAAGTTGAGAGCCGCTGGGCGGGGGGGTGGTACATGTTTACCGGCCCCTGGAAGCGCTCAGGCGGCTTTATGACAGACGTTGGAGGCAGCTACCTCTGGGACCAGGATGTAAAAGGATACGAAGGACGAGTATTCGGGGGAAGCGTTGGATGGTGAGCTTCTTTGTACTTTTGGTCCTCTGACGGCATCGATCGCAGATCTGTTAAGAGAATAAGCAGAGATTCACGGTTAACCGCTATCAGCGCTGACAGCGGCCCTCATACACAGGAAGACCAGAGCCAGAAAACAGAATAAAGAAGAACTCCAGAATAATTACAAGAGCCACGTGTGCTCTTCCTTCAATCTTGGTGTGCTTTGGGTATTATAGGGTCATGTAAAAGACAGGGTCAGGCACTTACGGGGGCGTTCTCTGAATTTAGCTCCTCCTCCTTGGTGAACAGGCTGAAGCAGTCGTACAGGGAGACCTTCCCACTACTGAAACCTTTCTACAGAGAGAAGAAAACAAAACACAGGAAGTTGGGTGAGGAGGACATCAGATGTGACAGTAAAATAGAACAGAAAGAAAGGAGAAGCCATTTTGTTCTTCATTTACCCAATTTATAAATAAAGTTTTTTTATAGGACCTCCCATTTATGCTTTTTCATGTTAATGGAATACAATTTCAGCAATGTGTCACTGCAACCCCTCCAAGTATTTATAAGGGGAGACTGAGGAAATGCTTCCTCCTGCCTGCAGCAGACTGATCACTAGAGGAGGGAAGACTGAGGAAATGCTTCCTCCTGCCTGCAGCAGACTGATCACTGGGGGAGGGGAGACTGGGGAAATGTTCCTCCTGCCTGCAGCAGAGTGATCACTGGGGGAGGGGAGACTGAGGAAATGCTTCCTCCTGCCTGCAGCAGACTGATCACTGAGGGAGGGGAGACTAAGGAAATACTTCCTCCTGCCTGCAGCAGCCTGATGACATCATCTCAGCCTAGGCAAAGTCACTGCCTGGAGCTCAAGGACAGCCTTTCAATGGTGAACACTGGGAAAATGATGTTGTTCCTGTATATTGGGACAGGTCAGGAATGTATTCCTACAGACTTCTAAAGTTACTGACAGGTCCACTTTAAAGCAAAGCTTCCACCAACCCAATCAGACTGGACTAGAGACTGACAATGCAAAAGCAGAGGTCACCCCCTTATAAGCCAAACTTGAAATGTTCCTTTAAAAGTCAAAGGTAGACCCACCCACTCCTGCCTCCCGAGCCCCTCTATTGGTCAGCAGGGCTGCCAGTCATTGTGAATTAGAAAGGGGCTGGGCCATCGACCTGCATTAGACATGAGGAGGCCGAGGGACATTCCACCATGAGGACGCCGGAGGGGGTGGGTCAGGTAAGTAAGAGTGCCTTTCTCCAGTCCCCTAGGCATAAACAAACAGTTAACCCTTGCAGTGCTGGTGTAGCCCCCCAAAAAACTGCAAAGGCAATTTTTTGGTTTGCCCGCAGACAGGCTTTAATTATTTAAATCTGCACCACTCAGAACACTGGAATATTCAGCGACAGGCTACCACCACCACCACCCAAGGACTTGTGTATCTTCCAACTGCTGCACATTAGCGGTTGAGAGCGGGCGTACAGCTTTAAGACCACTATCTGAAAAATGATCTGGAGTGCGTGCTTGTTCCAGTCTCGCCAATGCGGTTATTGAAACCCCTTTCGAGGGCGAGTTTGGCTCTCCTGCGTACCTTTGGGATGGGGAGGGAGAGATCGCAGAACACCTCGAAGGTCGGCGACCGGTAGCCACACGACTGGCAC